CCAAACCCGGTTGAAGTCAGCAGAGAAACACCAATTGTTTTTTTTTTCCAAGGCTTTTCAAGGGAACCAAGTTTCAATCTCTTGGAATTTCCTTTACATATCAAAAGCTATGTTTACAATTTTGCCCACTGTAATGGTTTCCTGAATCTGTGGGAATAAGAATATGTTACTGCAAGATAAGAAAGGACATGAATTTGTAGGTGCCAATAACACTGTGATAAGTGCTTACATTCAAATCCTGCACTAAAAATGCATTAATTTACCTCTCGCTCATGGAGGAACATGTTACCTTTTGTTCATTGCAGAATAAGAATGGGCACTGAAGTAAATATATATTGGATGGTGTTCAACAAGACAGCTTTCATACTCCAATGCAAACAATACAACATAGAGAAAGAGCAGACAGTAGCTCCCTGCTTTTGTTTCGAGATCAGTTATAGGATTACTGGTTTAGCTTTTATTGGCTCCTTCAGAAAATGGGCTGCACATTACACATAATAAGCTATGGCAGTACCATTTTTCACCTCAAGTCACGTGATTAATTCACATTTCTAAATTCCTCTGAGTATCAAAAGACATATTTCTTCCAGTACTTATCCAATGGGTTTGGAAGCTTTATGGGATTCCCTTCATAGCTCTTCTAAAAACACCATTCTAATTTTTGCACTTTTCTAAAAGAAAACCTGTGCTTGCCAGAGTACACATTCTTCCAGATAGACCTACTATTTTCAGCAGTCCGTTCAGCATAATTTGCTTCAACCTAGCTCAATATAGTAAACTTTGATAGGAAGTCATAAGGTAATATTTTCAGAAATGCCAGAGTATTTCCAGAGGCTACATCCCATTTTCAGAAGTCAATGGAGTTCTAAGGAGCCAGATTGTCAAAGATATTTAGACAGCAAACGGTACAAAGCACCGAGTAGAGTTTTCAACAGCATCTAAGCAAGCTAATAACCTATTTAAGTGCTTTAGAAATTTCCAGAGGTAGTTATTTTAAAGCGTATGAACACTTTCAAAAATCTGTCTGGAACACTGCAGTTCTAGTGCTGTAAAGAATTAGATTCTGGAATACAAGAATATTTTTATTAAGATTTAACTGCCTTTTTCAAAAGACAGAAATTAAAGGGAAAGGAAATCTGAAGTCAAATATATGAAAGGGAAAATACAGTTCTAGCAATTAGATAGCCATAATATGTAGGGTTTAATAATTAAAAAGTCAGATACAAATATTTCAGCACTACTAATTATAGGGCACAGATTTAATCGAATTTCTTTTATTAGCTCACATGATTTTAGTTCTCCTGTTTGATCAACCAAATAGCATTAGGCAAATGGTATACATGCATTTCAAATGAAAACAAAGTAGAACCACTGAAAAGCTGGGTGACAACAAGCTAGAGTGGAGAACGGAAAAATAAGAAACAAGCTGGAAGGAGCGGGGACAAAGAAAGGATAATGCACTTTTGAAAATGAGGTTAAAAAGGTTAACATCATTTCATACAGTCAATTTCCTAGTTATACAAAATAACATCAAACTAATCATAGTCATGTTATTTTCTTTAAAAAAATTCAGTATAGAACTTCATCTGTAAGGGGAGAGAAAGACGAAACAAATGATCATCGTCTGTTTCAGAGGCAGAACTCCTTTAAAACTTCTCAATAATGCATACAACATAACATTAACCACTCTGTCCGTCTTCCTATAATATCTGAATAAATCAAAGTCGCTTAACTAAGGAGTATAAAACTCATTAAAAAGTGAACTCAAAATACTATCTGACTAAAAACCTCTCCCCCAAATACTATTGGTGGACATTTTATCCCATAAAGGCATTTCACAACAAACGCACTTTAATTTGCCTCTTATTAAGATGATATTGAGAACTGGGTAGTAAGCAATGCCTTCTAAGCTCCCTTTCTGTTTATGTACAACCTTTTGCTATGGTAAACGTATGCTACAAAAACAAGCTGCTAAGAGATAAGATAGATTGGGAAATCATGGTACAGTAGCATTGGCTGCCTGGATGCACATATAATCTTACCCTCATTGAGTGTGCACCTCAATGGATGTGTGGCAAAGACCTTGCATGCACCATAAAGTACACAGAGAAGCCATTGGGTGGAGTAGGCAACATGCTGTAAATCCACACCCCAACTTACCTCATGGTAATTTATTCATGTAGGTATCCCTTAGGTTTTCTGGAGATGGACAGGCTTCCTTCTTTACTTAAAGAAAACAGGGAAACACTGTGTAATTAAATACAAAATTAAATGTTTATAGAAGATACAAGACATTTCACTGCTGCAAACAGTTGAACAGTCAAAGCCATTTCTGAAAATTAGCCCTAAGCAGGGAGTTATTTGTAATAGTATATTTTTTTTAGCTCTGTTAATACTGAAAAGTGATTTTAAATTTTTCTAAGAGAAATCCACAGTCTGATTTTCAAAAGTAAAGGTTTGATTTTTAAATTTTGGTGAATTCAAATGTCCATTAGCTTAAAAAGAACTAAGATGTGGAAGGACCACTGTATTGACCCCAGAGAAGGTGGAATAAAGCCCTGCCCTGAACGACCTATAACAATGCTTTATAATTCTCGACCTCTCTCATTCTGACAAGGCAAACTGTATCATTTTTCAATTCTCTTATAACTGATATTTTATCACATAAATAAGTCAAAGGCAAAGAGTTTGCAGGGAATTTTGTTTTATTTTTTAACTAAATTTGATGAATCTGAAAAAAGGCTCTATTTTTCCAACCTAGTTTTATCTGTAAGAGTGAATCATTACCAAATCAACATTCACATGCATAAAATGGGTATGTTTAGCATAATATATATATATTTGTCTGTGTATTAAGTCCACTGCTTATATAAATATTCATTTTGCAGTTGAAATTACCTGTGGACATCTTTACTGACACATCTAACTCAGTTTTTATTCAGTTAAAATTTGGTTCTAAAAACATCACTCTCTTTCCCATTGAAGATCAAAGTTCTGTGGCCAGTCTTTTAATAGTTATTCAGGTTTGTAATTCCTGTTCTGTGAGCTTTTACCCTTGAGATAATAACTAACTACCTCAATTAAGAAAAAGTTGGAGGAATTGTCCTAAATTTTAAAGAATATTTTTAGGCAGAAAATAGAGTAGAATCACACAAATAAAAGGTTTTGGAATGGTGTCTTACTATGTTTTATCTAGTTTCCTTACTCAATATTTAAGATCAAAGTCATACCCTGTACACTATTACACCAATTAGTAACTAACAGGAGAAGGAAGTCGGGGGTGGGGGAGGAGGTAAGAGGTAGAACAGAGAGGGATTAGCAGAAAAGAGTATTTGTTTGAATGCATGAATCTTCCAGTCCACACAGTCTTAACCTAGCTGACTAACTATGTTGCTGCATTTGCTTGCTAACTTGACTTTTCTCTATGCAAATTATTTCTGTATATTCTAAGAACTCTCTTTTTTTGAATTGAAATCTCGTGGCTTGAAAAGTAAATAAATTTATGGTCATCCAGGAAAATTCATGGCATCACAATGATGAAAATACCAACCACTTCAAACTACATGGCGGTCTGTAGTACGGAAGGCCAAAGAGAACAAAACTTGCCACGATCTCAACAAAGCTACAGTCATCTGCCTTGCATCAATACGCAGACATAAAGCAACAAACACAGAGCTAAGTTCAAGCTCTACAGTTAGGCAGGCAATCCCTACGTACAGATGGAGGGCTCAGCTGTAATTCCCTCCTGATGGAGGAGGGACAGAGACGCACCCACATCAATGACTGGAGAGAGATTTACTTAAGTGAAGCATGCAGGGCCAGTACAGCAGGATAAGTGCAACAGTATTGTATGCATCCTGCCACACTAAACTCCAGAACTATTTGAAGACGTTCCTATTAAACTCTTGCTTCATCCTCAGTACCACCCTAAAGGAGGAATGTGTTTATGGCACAAGTTAACAGATCTGCCCACACCCTTGTCATGGTGGAAGGCACAGCCCAAGGAGAATGAAAAGAGGTCAAGCCACAAGACAAAGTCTGCAAAGGGAACAAATGGCAGAAGCATAAGCCAGTATCAACTTCAGAGGTGATAAAGCAACATAAGGCCCGAATAACATCAGGCCCATAGATATCATCTGAAGCAACAAATGCCCACAACGTGCCTATTAACATTATGGTAACAGGACAACCATGCTCACTAACACACAGAGGAACACAGGACTGTAGGTTCCTAATCGGTGATAACTCCAGATCAACAAGGTACGGGTGAAGATCAATATACATCTGGAGAGACAGGGTGCTGCTCTGAAAGCGGAGAAAGCAAGATCGTTCATGTCAGTTTGCAACAAGTGATCAGCCAGGGAAGCAGTGCTCCCTCTTCCTTTATGGTCCCCTCTCCCTCTGGTTTTATGATGTAGTCCTTCAAACTCCAGATCTTCCTTTTTACCATGCTTAACTTCCCACTCTGCTTAAGCTTATTGCCTCACATGAGCTTGCTTTGATCACTCCCGTAATAAAGACATCTCACCTTGAGCCAACTTGTTTCATCAATATCACTCCATCTTCTTTTCATTTTGAAGCTCTTTGAACATAACACATGTTTTATCTGGGGTTCCTCTCTTTGTATGGTTCCTCTCCTTTGCAACTGAAGATGCAACCAGAATATTTAATAATACCTCTGCAGCCAAGAGGTACATCAGTAACTTGTGATTTGTGTGTGTGGGTAGGGGGAGAAGGAGGTTGGAGAATCTGTGTACAACTTGCATATCCTAGTTATGTTATAAAGCTGTTGTTACGAAACCCTTGAATCATGGAAGACTTCATTATATGGGGAATCCACCAT